TCTGATAAGAGGGGGCGGGCCCCCAGCTGCCGGATCCCTCTGGGAGCACTCAGGCAAGCTCACCGCCCTCAAACAATGCTCCCTGGCAGTGCGCGCTCGGCCGTTGGCGCAAGCATTTCCCAGGCTTTCACTCCTGCAGCCGAGCAGGTCGGAGCATCACGAATTCTGCATCCCGGCCGGGTTCAAAACCTGCCTTCACCACTGCTGGCTGCGTGCTGTGGGCATCGCCTAACCTCTCTGGGCCTGTTGGCTCATCTACAAAAGCACCTGTGTTGTACAGGATTGTGAGAACTAAATGCATACTCCTCAAACGCCCAGGACAGGGCTGACTCACGGGAACACGAAGTACTTTCCACTGTCTCACTGTCTGTTCTTACGGAAAGGGCCCCTTCCTCCTGCCTCTGTGCCCACGCGGCCCCTCAGCCACGCACCGCCCAGACCGACAGGTTTTGATGGGATGGCCCTGGAGTGGGTGCACACACTCCGCATCCAGGACTTCACCGGCCTTCGCTGGACAGCGCACCTGAGCCCCGCCCAGCCCAGCCCAGGCCTCTGCTGCTGTGACATCACAGACACCCTTGGTGACACCACAAACCCAACTCCTTAATCCTGTGGCTGAGCAGTGGCTGGCAAGACCAAATAGGAGCTGAATTGAGACTAATTTGGCTCTTTCCATCCAAAATCTCTGCCCACATGTTCTACCAGTGGCCCCAGGGATCCAAAATTGGCAGTCGTCTTGGGCCACACTCATTGTCTATTTCCCAGGAACCAACCAGCAGCTGCTGGGGGCGGAGGCCGTCACATTGCAGGGGCCTTCGGTGATGCCTCTTGGGAGAACAGAAGACTGGGCGCCGGGAGGAGCACCTTCCTCTGAAAACAAGAACCAAAATGGCTCACCTACATTCCACCCCTATCCTGCCCCACCTCCCTCACCTCTCTCCCCTCCCCCACTCAGTCCTGTTAGTCCCTCCCCACCATAATGGGGAGGAGGGGCCACCAGAGGCAGGGAAGGGAGGGACTGTTGGGAGTATAAATGCGAACAGGCCACCCAACTCCCAGAGCTGGATCCCCCAAAATCTGCTCTGTCAGCTGCTGCAGTTGCTACCGTTCTCAGAACCCTCACCATGAAAGGCCTTCTGCTGCTCGCCTTGTCTTCTTTGCTGTGCTGGGTCTCAGGTAAGCACCTGGGGCCCCAAGGACCTGGTTCACCCTGCCCCACCCACCACCCCACATTACCCACTCCTCAGGACCCCAAGCACCCCTGGCCCCAAATGGCTGAGTTCTGTGCTTCCAGAACCAGGTCTCCCTGTGACAGGATCCTGGCTCCATTCTCAAGGACTCATGTTCCCACCTCCAAGACCCACTCTTCTATCAAGCCAGGGTTCCAGGTCCCCTTTCCCCAGTCCAAGGTGCCCCCTTCTTGGGCACCCTAATACCAGTTCCCCTGCCAGCCCCACTCCAGTGGAAAACCCACCAAGATGCAGCTTACCTGCTTTCTCCTCTCTCCGCTGCGCTCGGCAGGGCGTCCTCCCAGAGCCTAGGCACCCCGCCTGGGGCTTCTTTTGCACCCCACCTGTCATCTGCTCCCTCAGGGACTTCATGCTTAGTCCCTCGAGCAGCAGCCTTTCCTAGCTGCCTCCTGCTCCTCTCGGGGGCACGTACCCCCAGGGACACAAGCTTTCTGGAAGGTGCCAGTGACTTCTTAGAACCTTCTAGGGCACCAGGGAGATTTCCCCAGCCTTCTAGGGAGGGAATGCCAGGCTTGCTCACCCCCAGGGTGAGGGGCAGTCACAGACTTGTTCACCCTTGGACCAAATCCCTCCTTCACCAAACCTTGCATTAGCCGAGGCAGAAACTCTGGGCTGCCACCTTCTGCTCCCAGGCGGAGTCTGATCTGTGCCCGGATAGTATTCCTTTCTGCGGAGAGCTCCTAGGGGAGAGGATTCGCTCAGGTCGGGGCCTCTTCCCACGTGCTCGGTGGGCACAGGAGGTGAGGAGTAAATTGCTAAAGCTGGCCGCACATGGCCTTCTTGCTAGCTTCAAGCTCCAAGCCGTTTTTGCATGTGCTGTATCCTCCATGATTTTTATTTTTATTTTTTAAATGTATTTTTATTGATTTCAGAGAGGAAGGGAGAGGAAGAGAGATAGAAACATTCATGATGAGGGAGAATCATTGATCAGCTGCCTCCTGCATGCCTCCTCCTAGGGACCGAGCCCACAACCCAGGCATATACCTTGACTGGAATGGAACCCGGGACCCTTAGGTCCGCAGGCCGACACCCTACCCACTGAGCTAAGCTGGCGAGGGCCATGATTTTTATTTTGAATAGTTCTTCCTATTTCAAGTCTCTACCTGTGACCTCCTTTGAATTCTTTCATCTTCTTCCCTACCACCTCTGTCCCATGGAATTCTCACTTTCCATCTAGCCCAGCCCCGTGGTGTTGTTGTTGGTAGCATTGCCCTCCTGACTCATCCCCAGGTGGAGTGGAGTGGAGTGGAGAAAGGTAGTTAGGGTGTGGGCTGTTCACAGAGCAACAACTCCACCCTCACCCACTTCCACTTTTTCTCTATCACTCACCTGCTCTGTCCCTCTCAGACCAAACCGGTCAGAACACCTACTGCACTGGTTCTTCTCCACCCTCCCCCCTAGCCCCCCCCCCTCGGCTCAGCCCCAGGTGAGTCAGACACCCCATCACCTCAGCCTGATTTGTGTCTTCCCAGCTGACATTCGCTGTCACTCCTGCTACAAGGTCCCTGTTCTGGGCTGTGTGGACCGGACGTCCTGCCGCCTGGAACCAGGACAGAAATGCCTGACAACAAATGTGTACCTCGGTAATCTGCCCTTCTTAGTGGGGACCAGGGCCGGTGGGAGACTCTATGGCTGAGGCTGAGGCCCAACTGGGGCTAAGGCTGAGCTGGAACAGAGAATGACAGCAGTGAGAACTATTGGCCAAAAATTATCACATACCAGGCCCCATTCTGTGTCTCTACATGGATTGTTTCAATTCATGTTCATGACAACCCTATGATGTGGCTGTTATTATACTGAGGAGACAGCCTCAGAGAGCGGCAGTAACAGGTCCAAGGCAGCCCAGCCAGCCAGTGACAGGTCTGGGACTGGGTGAAGGGCGGGGTCTGGAAGTCAGCAGGAAGATGAGACTGAGAAGAGAGAAAGAAGGGGAAGGTGGAGCAGAATTGGGAGGAAAGGAGGCTGAGTGAGTGCATGGGGTGGGGAAGTGGACACAAGCATCCCAGGTGCCCATCCCAGCTGACACCACTGCCCACTCCTACCCCCAGGCAAGATGTGGGTTTTCTCCAACCTTCGCTGTGGCACACCTGCGGAGCCCTGTCAGGAGGCCTTGAACCAAACCAACCGCAAGCTGGGCCTGACCTATAACACCACTTGCTGCGAGAAGGACAACTGCAACAGCCCGGCCCCTCGGCCCGCCCCAGCCCTGGGCCTGGTCCTCCTCACCTCCTTGGCTGGCGTTGGCCTCTGGCTGCTGCACTGACACTCACTCCTCCCCCTGCCTCAGCCTGAGCCTCTCTCCCTGTGTCTCCGGATCCCCTGGCTTCCCACAGTGGTCTCCCCCTAGTTCCCTTTGCTCGGAAAAACATTTCTCTAGACCTTCACATTTCTTTGATTAGACAGTGGTCACCCTATCCGTCATTCTACCCACACCCTCCTCTCGGCTCTGCTGAGTCCCTTCCCGTTTCCCTCCAGATCTCCCACGGCCCCAGAAGGGCTCCCCTTTGGGCCCTGCTTAGGGAGGACTTGGGGTCCGGGCCTGTCCCCCGTGGTGGCTCGAAAGAAGACCTGAGGACCTTGCCCTGCTCACCTCTTTCCATTTTGAGTAATAAATGCCTGTGTCCGATAAGTCGTGCATTTATTGTCAGGAGACCTGTTGTCAGAGCCACACACACACACACACACACACACACACACACACACCCGTCTCAGAAATAACCCTCTCAGCCCCCACCCTTCCCCAGACCCTTCAGGGAGTTTCCCTGGCAGCGGGGCTGGGGCAAATGGAGAAACAGGTTTTTCCGGCATCCACCCTCCCTTCCAGTATGGGGGTGGCACACAGGTCCCAGTGTTTGGAGACAATCCTTATCTCAAACGTAGGTCACACCTCTGAGGGACTGCCAAGAAGGAGGTGCAGCCCGGCTTGAGGGCTCCCCAAAAAGGGTAGGAAAATCGCATGGGGATGGGACCCAGGACCCTCTTTGCAGGTGTCTGTCCCAAGGTTAGTCAGAGGCCTCACCTGGCCCGGTTACTAAGTGGGGCACCGAGTGAACCTCCTATCACAGGCTTCCATCTATTTCCTCTCTCAGTTCGAGAGTCCTATTGGGAGCCAAGCTGCAAACAGGGGAAAGGAGAACAACCCAGACAAACGGGTTCATTGATTCTGTGAGCCCCACTCAGCCCAGCGCCTGCTCCCCTGGGTGATCCTCGTTGCTAAGGAAGGTTCTCCCTAGCAACAAGGTTCAGGGGTAACTTAGGGCAGCTTCTCCATTGTCCTCCGGGGTTGGGTCGGATAAGGAGTGCATCATCATAACCCTGAAACTAGGCCTATTACTCCTTCAGCCCTAACATCGACAAAAGAGAGATGGAATTTTCCAGTCAGCTCTAGAGTGGTCGATCGATTTTTTAAAAAAATATATATATCTTTATTGATTTCAGAGAGGGAGAGATAGGTAGAAACATCAATAATGAGAGAGAATCATTGATTGGCTGCCTCCTGCACGCCGCCTACTGGGGATCAAGCCCGCAACCCGGGCATGTGCCCTTGACAGGAATCGAACCTGGGACCCTTCCGTCCGCAGGCTGATGCTTTATCCACTGAGCCAAACCAGCGAGGGCTGGTTGATAGATTTTAATGGCTCACAGAGGTGTGTGTGTCTTCTCACCTCAGATCTCCTTCATTCCCTTGCTCCCTTCCGGTCTTCTAGTCCCACTACCCTCTCCACAGTCCTGGTAAGACCCAGGCCAGGGCGCTGTGTGCTGCAGCCAACATGCAGGCCGGGGCCACAGTTCTCGCCACAGCGCTGCCGCACAGGCCTCCGGAGCAGCCCTGTGGGCGGTGTGAGTCCCTCCAACTTTGTTTCCACTTAATTGCAATGATGTGCTGTGGCACAGGCTGGCCGGTGATGGCTGCTGAGGCTGAGAGAGACGGAGGCAGAGGTGTCAGCCTCCTGGCTGGAGGACTTGCCTTCGGGGGCAGAGCAGATGGGATTTCAAGGAGCACAAAGGGATTCTCTGCTCCCTCAGAAAACACCTCCCTAAAACCAAGTGATCAAAGTTATCACACTGGCATTGTGACCCCCTGTGTGCTGCACTGCAAAGACCAACATCATGTCTGTGCTATTCTTGCCAAGAGCTCATGAGCTCAATCTAATTGTGTGAAAATACCAGATAAAGCCGGCATGACTCAGTGGTTGGGCATCAACCTATGAACCAGGAGGTCACGGTTCTGTTCTGGGTCAGAGCACATGATGGGGTTGTGGGCTCCATCCCCAGTGTTGGGTGTACAGGAGGCAGCCGATCAAGGATTCTCATCATTGATGTTTCTCTCCCTCCCTCCCTCTCCCTTTCTCTCTAAAACCAATAAAAATATTTTTAAAAAGTAAAATAACTTACCAGGACTCTTCAAAAGTTTCAAGGTCAAGGAAGACAAAGACTCAGAACTGTCACAGATTGGGGGCAGTTAAAAAGACACGAGAGTGCCGAAACCGGTTTGGCTCAGTGGATAGAGCGTCGGCCTGCGGACTGAAAGGTCCCAGGTTCGATTCCGGTCAAGGGCATGTACCTGGGTTGCAAGCACATCCCCATTGGGAGATGTGCAGGAGGCAGCTGATCGATGTTTCTAACTCTCTATCTCTCTCCCTTCCTCTCTGTAAAAAAATCAATAAAATATATTTGGAAAAAAAAAAAAAAAAAGACACGAGAGCCAAAGGCAATGTGGGCTTCTGGGATGGGCCCTGGAGCAACTGGCTAAATCAAGTAAGGCCTGCTGGTCAGTCAGAAGTGCTGCACCGGTGTTACTTTCTGGTTTTGTACAGTTGGCCCTTGAACAATAAGGACTTAAACTTATATAAAGACCCCCCCTCCCCCATAAATATACAGTTGGTCCTCCTTTTCCGGGTTTCACATCTGCAGATCCAACCAAGTGCAGGCTGAAAACAGGGCCGACTAGTGTATATGCATTGTTCTATGCCATTTTATTTATTTATTTTATTTTTTAATGCCATTTTCTATAAGGGACTTGAGCGTGGGGGATTTTGGTATCTGCAAGGGGGTGGGGTGGTGTTCTGGAAACAATGCCCCTCAGATACCAAGGGACACTTGTAGGTCGTTTTGGGGGAGTCACAAGTTATACACAGACTTTGACTGAGCGGATGTGGCACCTCTGACCCCTACGTGTGCAAGGCCAGCTGTGCTCTGGTTGTGAGATGTCACATCGGAGGAAGCAGGGAAGGGCACACTGGCATTCTCTGTACTGTTGTTACAGCTTTTCTGTCAATCTAAAGTCATTTCAGAACAAAAATGTAAACACACACACACCTCCCTGGTCCTTAGCTGATGTTGGAAAGTTGAAGTCTGGTTTAATATTTTGGTCCCTGCTTTCAAGGGACTGAGGTTTTCTAACCGTGTGCGTGTTCCAATTATCTATAGGAACATATGCACAGGTGACCCAGAGCGCCTCATTTGGATATACCAATACAGACGTCAAAGGGTACTTACTATTCATTAATATGGCCGAGCTTAACCAAAAACTAAGAAGAGAGAAGACACAGGGGATAAACAAGGCAAGAAATCACACAGGTTTATTTACCAGAGAGCTGATGGGTTTCAGTCCTTGGCAGGCCACCCGGAGACGCTCGCTGACAGAGACACACGGAGGTCGTCTAATACGCCGCGGCAAGGAGCTCGGTCTCTTGACTCGAAGAGAGGCCTCTTAACAGTCTGGGCTCAAAGGCAGAGCAGGAATGGCAGTTTGGCAGTTTGGCAGTTTCCAGGGGGGAGGAGAACGGCTTGTCTGTGGAGGGCAGACAGACGTCTGTCTGCTGCTGTGAGAGGCCTTCTTTTAAACCCCATGGGTGGGCTTCTTCAGTGTCTCATATCAGTGTGCTCTGGTGGCCTTCTGGGCTTATCAGGATACACACGCAGGGGGTTACAAGGTACTTATCAGGGGTGCACACGCAGGGAGTTGTTGGTTAGGAGTTTACAAGTTATTTGTCAGGAGTTAACATGCAGGGCGTTACAAGTTATTTATCAGGGTCTCACACACACACACACACACACACACACACAAATTAAGTTCCTCTTCTAAGTAAAGTTTAAAATTCACTCTAATAAAAAAAATGAAATTTGATTATACTATCTTATACTAACTAAACGCCTTACCTCTGCATTGCGTGAGTGGGTCTATGAGATTCTGGAGAGCAAAGAGGGGGCAGGTGGACACACGGGCAGCAGACAGGGCGTCCTGAGGGGCTCAGTGCCAGGAGCACAGAAGGAGCTACCGACAGCTCAGACCCAGCCTGACCCTGGAAGGTCTGCCAGCAGGAAAGCGCTGGGGAGGAGGGGGAACCAGGACTCGAGTTCCCAGACAGCGTGCTCCGCCCCGGGGCTAGTTGGAGTTTGCCAATGCGATGGATGCACAGGAGGCCCTCACCATAGGTGTCCCGGCTTTGCCTGGGGCACTGCAGTCAGAGCGCAGGTGCGGTGTCCTGGCTCAGAGAGGAGGCGCTGGACCTGGGCAGAGGGCCACCAGCCTGTGTGGCAGGGGCCTTGGCTGCCTTCTCACCCAGGGCAGCCCCACAAGGAGGGGGTTCACTGTGTCTGTGCCTCCCACGCCCACCCTGCCCTGCCAGCCTTACAACCCTTGCCCTGGGCTTTGTAGGCAATGAAAAGGGAGGCCAGAGTCTCCCTCAGCTGGCACTGGACACCCAAAGCAGCACCCAACAGACCGAGTGTGGAAGTAGATGCGAAAGCCCAGCCATCTTTGTTCACAAAAACATGTTTGGCTTACATGTGGCAGGTTTATTGTTCTAATTTTTAAGTGAACCTATTTAAAATGTTCTGTTTTGATTTCTAATAGAGTAAATGGTACTATAACTCACTACGAAAGGCTCTTGGGGTCTTCAGTAACTTTTGAGAGTGTGAAGAGGGCCTGAGGCAAGGAGAGCCCCAATACTGCTGCTCTGAGCAGAGCTGTGCCTCCACGCCCGCCCCACCCAGTCCTGTCCTCCTGGGATAGTCCTGCCTGGTTCTGCAGCTGGCTGTCCCCTCCGGTCTCTCTAACCCCTGTCTTCCAGACGCTGCCCCTGCCCCTGCCTCCAAACCCCATCCCCCTGCACCTCTTCCTAGTCTCCATGGCCCCCCTCACTGACCTACCACAGTGGAGACACATCAGACCCTCTGACCTCACGTGTAACTCCAGTAGCAAAGCTGGGAGAGATCATTATGGGGTAGGGATGCTGGGCTTGAAGGGATCTGAAGGCCCTCCCTGAAGCATCTGGGTTTTGTGTTTGGGGTAGAAGGGAGGTTGTTGATCCCACACTTAATGGATCTGGGCCAAGGCTGTTTGGAGGGTGACCCTGAGAGCATTAGTGCAGAGAAGGGGAAAAGAGAAAGCCGAGACAAGGAGACGAGCTGAGAGAGCAGAAAACAGCTTGAGACAAGCAGGGGGGCGGGGGGGTAAGGAAGAGGACTAGGAGGGAAGGTGACAGACACAACTCCGGAGCTCAGAGCAGCTGAGAGAACAGAGGGCAGGCTTCTGCAGGGCCAGGGAGGTGTGGGGTGCAGGAGCAGAGGCCCGCTGCTCAGGCTGGTGAATGTGGGCTGGTTCCACCGCTCCCACCCGCTCGCTCCCTAGGTGTGTTTGTTTACTGGTTCCTCCCAGTCTCAGATGCTCCTGCTCTCCAACCTGGGGCACTCAGGTGCAGTCACAGTCTCCCGGACTCCTGGGCCCTGGACCCAGCCATGGGCACCTCCAGTGCCGTCCTCTGCATCCTGTTCTTCTGTGGGGCGCTGGGTAAGGGTAGGTTGGGGGTCCTCTGGGGCAGCGGGCGGGGTTCATGGAAAAGCCTGAGGGCTGGGGAGGGGGTCTGAGAGATGCCAAGGAGAGTTGTAGGAGTTTAGAAAGAGGAGCTACCGGGGGTGGCCTCAGGCCAGCCTGGCAAGGTCCCTCGGAAGGCACTGGAGATCGACCGTCTTCCCCGTGGCATCTGCACGAGCCTCTGTCCCCCGTCCCTATCTCACCTCTTGCTCCTTTGCTGGGCTCCTTGGTAAATGCCAATTCCGATGTTTTCATCTGTCCTGGCACCACCGCTAAACTTCCTCACTGCCGCCTCCCACCCTGGCTTCTGTCATTCTCTAAGTTCATCTCCGATTCTCTTGGCTTCTGTTCACGGCTGTGTCTTCCTCTTTCCCTGTAACCTCTCCCTGGTCCGTGTCTCCTTTCCTACTTCTGTCTGCTCCCTTTCAGCGCTTCCCTCTCCCCACTGAGCCGCACCTCACTCCGTGCACCCCTGTCTGGGATCTTGGCTCTGCCTCTCCCCTGGCCTGTGTGTCTCTCCTCCACCCTCCTGATCTCCACCAACCCGGCAGGTCTCACCACTCTCCCTGCCCCGCGGCGGCTCCACTGTTACACCTGCAGCTTCGCCAAACCCTGCTACCCTGTTCCCACCGAGTGTGGGGATGATGAAGCTTGTGGCATCAGCATCGGCACCTCAGGTAGGACTCTGGTCCAATGGCCCTCCCCCAGATGGTTCCCCACCCGCTCTGTCCTGCCCTCCCTCTACCCCTGGCCCGACCTCCGACCACCCCGGCCTCAGCCTCACGCCTCAGCATCGCCCCTTCCTCCCACAGAGCAGAGTGAGGTCATCCAGCGGAAAGGCTGCCTCCCCAGGGCCCAGTGCCCTCTGCCTGGCCATGCCACCTACTGGTCACGCTCCTACGCGCTGCGGCACCACTGCTGCGACCAGGACCTGTGCAACGTGGCCCCCAGGCCCCTGGTCCCCACCCTGCTCCTCACCGCCAGCTTCACCTTCGGAGGCCACCTCCTCCTCTAGCCTCCTCAGAGCTGCGGCCCTCAACCCAGACGCCCTCACCATCTCCGCGGCCCTGGAGACACCTGCCTGACACTTGAGATGTGGCCAAGTTCCTGGTTTGACAGACAGGCCTCAGCTCCCTGGCCCCACAGCTTTGCAGAGCTCTTCCAAGACCTGATTCCTGTGGGCCCTCCTCCAGCCCCTACAACTTGCCCAGAGCCCGGCCTCATAAAAATGCTGTTCTGTGTCTTTTGTCTTTTTTAGATACCGAGGCTGATGCCCTCTCCAAGCCCCAGGTCTCTGGCAAGGCAGGTGCTTGATGGAGCTGTGGGTCCCAGGCAAGGGGATGGCAGGGGCCCCATGTATGGAGAGGAGGGGTGTCTTGCCAGGGAAGGTCCATTTGGTAGATCAGGAACTTAGGAAGGAGGGCTTGGGGAACGATGAAGGGCGAATTTAATAAAGTGCTATCTGGGGGTCTGGTAACACTGCCGTGCGTGCGTGTGTGTGTGTGTGTGTGTGTGCACACGTGTTTTCTCTAAAAGCAAACTGTAGTTCTTGGTGGTTGCGCTGGGGCTGGAACCCGAACCATAATTGTCATCTCGTTCTGTCTGTCATTCGCGCCTCCTTCCTGCCGACAGATGAGCTGAAGCCACTGCAGAGTGGAGGCTTTAGGTGAGAAAGCCTCCAAGAAAGCTTTTCCCAGCGAGGCCCAGGCTTGAGCAGATACACACAAGGGCGCTGGAGGAGCTGCTGTGAGGGTGTGGCTGGGAGGCCAGCTCATTCCTGCCTGACCTGCCCGCGTGGTGAGCTGGGAGTGTCCCTGCCTCACCAGCCCAGACCTGCCCCTGCTCCCCAGACAGCCCTGCACGCAGGGCCCATCACAGCCCCGCCCGGGAATGCACGGTCCCGCCCCGTGGACACTCCTGCCCAGGGAGATAGTGTGTGACTCGGATCCCAGGATGTCAGGGTGACATAAGCGACTCATTGCTCCGGATGCCACAACGGAGTGCCTAGGATAAGGAGGGTGGCAGAGTGGGGGCCGAGCATGGGCCCCATATTGACCCAGCTCCCTCCCCTTCCATCTGAGGGAGTCTGGGGTCTAAGTGAAGGTGCTCGTTCTCTCTCAGCTCTCCTCTGCTTCGTGACGATGGAGCTGTTGACCTCATTTAGAGGCAACTTGAGTTTCCTTTCCATTCTCCCTGTCCCTCAATCCCCCTGCTTCGTGCTTCCATTTTTCTCTACCTCTGATCATCTCATCCCTTGGTCTGATTGAGTCTCCTCCCTTCTCTCCCCTTCAGTTTCCCCCATTTGCCCTCCGGCTCAAGGCCCTGGATTCCTCTGTCTCCTCTCTGCCCACCCCACCCTCCTCACCCCTGCCAGCTGCACCAGCTCCCTCAGTCCCATGCCTGTGGGTTCAGGGCCACCCTCCACTGGCTGCTACAGATAGGAGACCACACTTTTTCAAAGGTAACATCACAAAATAATGAATCTCCTTCCCCAAAAAAAAAACACACACAGCTGTCTGTGGGAGACCAGCGGCTGTGACGTAGCTCGCTCAACCCCACCCCTCTCGCCAAGACTTTCAGGGGCTCTTTCAGTGCCACGTGGCCAGGGAGACCGCAGGTCACTCTCCAGCAGATGCCACGGAGATCATCTGGTCTTGGGGGCAGGTGGGCTGTGGGTTTTGTGGAACAGAAAGATGGGTTAAGGACACTTCCATTCCTACCGCCTCAGGAGCAGGACTCCTGTCCACCCCAACCCAGTGCCCTCGGGGATGTAAGCCTCTGTCCCCTCGTTGTTCCTCACCTGAGACGGGCCAAGTGGATGTTCTCATAGACCTGGATTTCAGGTTTGAACTGAGGAACCGAGGCATCTGGGGAGAAGGAGCCACATGGAGTGAAGCAGACAGTCACCAGATAGCCCAGAGCTGCCTTCCCTCTCCTCCCCTCCCCTGGAGAAGATGTGGTACAAAGGCAATGCGAGCCCCACTCCGGCTTCCACCCAAGTGCTCTCTTCTTCCCCCTGCGGGGGGGGGGGGCCTTACCTCTGCACTGAGCCCCCTGGACCCTCCGTCTCCAGAGCATGATGCTGAGGACCAGGATGGCGAAAGCCTGGCCTACTGTGAACAGCAGCATCAGGATCCAGAGCACATCCCAGCCCGTGGAAGGGGCACAGAGGGCAGGGGAGGCATCCGTGGGGGCTGTATAAGGGCAAGAGGAAAGGGGGAGGCAGTGAGGGGGTCTGTCCCTGTGCCCCAAAGAGAGGCTTCCCACATCGACTGGTGGGCTCTCCCAAAAGAAGACTTCCGAAGTTTCCCTGTCCCCAGGACCCACCCCCACTTTGCCCCTTTCTAGGTCTCTCACCCTGACCCATGAGCCAACGCCTCCCACACCCAACACACACGACAGCTAACTCCAGAGCAGACCGCCAGCCATGCTGTCATTCCTCCTCATACCCCTCACAGTAATCCACCCTTTCAGGGAAAAAAAGTGCTTTGCATGTATTCATTCTTCCGTCACTCACTCCATAGCATTTGCTGAGTGCCCACCACATGCCAGGCACCGTCGGCGAGTGGTGTCGGGGCAGTAAAGCCCCGCCCCTGCCATCATTGACCTTTGCTGATGGAAGTAGGGGCCCTGGGCTCCTCCCTCCCGCGTGTAAAGGGTTATTCCACATCCAACAGCGTTCTTTCTTTGTATAATGGACTTTTTCTGGTAAAACAATCACATATTTTTCTCCTTCTGCCTTTACTATCAATGGGCCTTATAACATCCGTGCATATATCTTTTCTTCAAAAGACAATTATCACCCCAGCAATAATTCTTATTTTCTTCCTCTCTGCTATGGGATATTTCACACAAATCATAGGTTAGCCTATTTTTAAACAATGACATATTCCACAGAAATCTTCTCCCCCCTCTTGGCTATTGTCTAGTCCACCAGAAAGTTGGCTTAACCACCCCCTCCTCGGTTATGGTTACGGCTTCAGCTGAGGGGGGAAAGGCCCTCCTCCCGCAGTGATGGTCAGCTCCACCAGAAACCACCCTCCTGACCGGGCCAATAACAAATTCGCCTCTTTCTCACCTCCTCCCCTGGCCAGCAGGGTGGATGTGCCAGAAGGAACACCCTTCCCATACCGCCCTGCCCCCCGCACCCCGTTACCTGCCAGGCTAAAGCTGACCCCCTTGTTCTGAGGCACGACACAGCGGATGAGCCTGGGTCTGCGGCCCCTGGACTCAGGAAGCCCCTCCCCAGGACACACCAAGAGCAGGGCAGCCCCGTCGCCCCAGAAGGCCTGCACATGGCCCCTCACAGGGCCCCTCCCCTCCACCCAGGTCACAGAGTCCAGGCGCCTGGCAGGGACCACGGAGCACAGGAGGACAGAGCAGGGGGCTCCGTCTGCAGCCTTGGCAGATAACTGGGATCCTGTGGGAGAGAGGGGCCCTCAGTTCCTTGCTCGGGCTTCCCCATCTCCCAGTAGCCCCTGGTCTCATGCCCCCACTCACCTCTGAGCACAGAGACATCATACACCCTCCAGTTATGGTATTTGTGGCGCTGACCCAGCACTGCGCACCAGTACCGCCCAGCGTCTCCCTCCTTGGATCCTTCCAGCCACAAAGAGTAGTTCCCCAGCAATTTGAGCCTGGACTCCCTTCCAGGCTTTCCAGGGTCTGGGGCTGGCCTGGCCACTTGGATTTGGGTCACCAGGGCAGTGGAGGAGCCTGCTGCAGGGCTGCAGAACCAGGACAGGAGTTCGTCCCCATGGAGGGTGGGTGGCAAGGGACATGGTAGCTCCATTGCTTCCCCCGAGGCCACATAGATGGCCTGGATGTTGTCTGTAGGGAGGGGCTTGTGTGAGGCCAGATACCTCCATGAGATCAAACCCCACCCCACCCCCCATCTCAACCTCCAACCCCTGGCTTCCTTCCTTCCTGAGGTCTCCCGGCACTGGTCTGGCTATAAGCACACTTCGCAAGGGACAGCTACAAAAAACGGTGAGATGGAGAGAGAGGGCAGGGGCTTTCCTCCCTTTCCCCAAATGCATGAGGAAATCTGAGGGCAAGAGAGAAAAGGTGGAATAGTTGGCAAATACCCGTATTTCTTCCTCTCATATCTCCTTTTCTGGAAGCAGTTACTCACCGATTCTCATTTTCTAAAGGAAACTGCACATGACCTGGGTCCTCAGGGTCTCTGGGTCTATCCCAGTGTTAGAGGTGGGGGAGGTCAGCTGGGGAAAATCTACCTTCGTGAGTCAGATGCCTGCCCCAGGCCCCTAAGGAGAAGCGGCAGCCTTGCAGAGCCCCCACCTCCTGCTCTTTACCTGCAGCAGCCTGAGGAGGCCCCCCGAGGAGGAGAAGGAGGAGGAATAAGACCGCCATGGGAGAGCCTTTCAAGTTCTCTTGCCTGGGACCTGGTGTCCCCGGGGAGGAAACAGAGCCCAGATAAAGGCCTGCCCTCCCTGGTCTGGAGTGACAGGCTCTGGAGGGGATGGGAAGTTGGGGAGATAAAGCCTAGTTGCAAGTCCACTGGCAGAAAAATGACCACTGCCTCTCTGTCCTGATGGGAAAGAGGCCCAGTCCAGGCCTCTCCGAAGACAGCCTCCTCACCCTTCTGACTCCTGGCCCCACGTCGGTGGAGGGACTCCGACAGAAGCCTCTCCGTGCCGAGAAGCCTGCACAGAAGGGGTCCTGCCAGTTTGGAAGCCTTTTCTCCTCCACCTTAAGAGATGCCCGCCATGAAGGAAGGAACTGAGTCTCCAGGTTGGTCTCCATGGAACCCAGCATGAGACTATACACCCAGTCAATACCTTAGAAATTATTTAAAATGGCCTTTCTTGCCCTAACCTGTTTGGCTCAGTGGATAGAGCATCGGCCTGCGGACTGAAGGGTCCCAGGTTCGATTCCGGTCAAGGGCATGTACCTTGGTTGTGGGCACATCCCCAGTAGGAGGTGTGCAGGAGGCAGCTGATCGATGTTTCTAACTCTCTATCCTTCTCCCTTCTTCTCTGTAAAAAGTCAATAACATATATTTTTTAAAAAATAAATAAGTAAATAAAATGGCCTTCCTTGGGGCTGCCTGCCACGCCACAGACCTCTTCTCATCAGCCTCTGATGAGTATATGAAGTTATTGCTCAAGGAGGAGAGTAGCAAGGACCTGGAAAATTCACTGGCCCCAGGCAGTGCTCTCAAGGCAGATCTTCAAGTGGCCTACAGTCTTAATGTGTTATTTATTTTTAAAGGCTACTTCTTTAAAAAAAATTTTTTATAAAATAGTCTATGTTAAGTCTAATCAAATAATTAAATCGATATCCCCTCCTGTGGGAACTGACCTTTAGGCCACTTCACAATGGACATTCCCTTTTGCTTAGACCACATTCCACTTGCTGAGACCATTATCTCTCCCCTCCGGAGTTTCCCAGGATCCGGACCTGCACAGAGAATTCTCTGCCCAGAAAAAACCCAAATTCCCCGTCTTTGGGGGTGCTGGCACCATTTTGGGGCTCAGCCCATCTGGTCTCCAGATGACCTAACCCTATATAATAAAAGCCCAATATGCTAAGTGTCCAGTCATCTGGTCCTCCGTTCAACCAATCAAAGTGTAATATGCTAATGATATGCTAAGGCTGCGCAACTGCTCGCTATGACATGCACTGACCACCAGGGGGCAGACTCTCAACACAGGAGCTGCCCATTCGTGGTCAGTGCACTCCCACAGGGGGAGCGCTGCTCAGCCAGAAGCCAGGCTCACAGCTGGCAAGCACAGCGGCGGTGGCAGGAGCCTCTCCCACCTCTGCAGCAGCACTAAGGAGCAGCGAGCTGAGCGGTAAGGAGAAAGCAGGCAGATGGTAAGGAGCAAGGGGTCCCAGACTGTGAGAGGGTGCAGGCCGGGCTGATGGACGCCCCCCTCCAATGTACGAATTTCATGCACTGGGCCTCTAGTATATATATAAAAGTCTACGCAACTGGATCATTGGTGGACCAGCCGGTAGCTATGAAGCAATCTGACCACCAAGGTGCGAACACTCAATGCAGGAGCTGCCCCCTGGTGGTCAGTGTGCTCCCATAGCAGGAGTGTGGCTCAGATGACCGACAGGCACCAGAAGCCCCCTGGCCAGCTCATGGGGAGCTCAGCTGCATCAGAGGCGGGAGCCTCTCCCTCGGACACTCCCCCTGCAGCTCCTCCCCAGCCACCTGCAGCTTCGCACACTACCTCGTGCTGTGCGGGATCAAGGCAGCCAGGAGGCTAGAGCCCAATGAGCTGGTGGGTAGGGCTGGGCTGCAGCGGTGCGGAGGTCCACTGATCCCCGCAGGCCAGGCTGAGGGACCCCACCAGTGCACAAATCCGTGCACTGGGCCTCTAGTAAATTTACAATCCCTTACCACTTTGGCCTCGTGAGTTCCTCCTCTGGTGACCCTAACAGTCCATGCATACCAAAGACTATATCTAATGTACAACTGTATAATAGCTAAATAAACTGTGGCATCGTTAGACAACGGACCATTCGATAGCAATGAGAATGCACCAACCACTGTGATATACAACCAGATTGAATCTCACAAACATAACGAGAGTAAAAGAAGTCATAAAGTACACAAACAGGCAAAAGTAATCTAAGCCCTGACCGGTTTGGCTTAGTGGATAGAGCGTCGGCCTGTGGACTGAAGGGTCCCGGGTTTGATTCCGGTCGGGGGCATGTACCTTGGTTGCGAGCACATCCCCAGTGGGGGGTGTGCAGGAGGCAGCTGCTTGATGTTTCTCTCTCATCGATGTTTCTAACTCTCTATCCCTCTTCCTTCCTCTCTGTAAAAAATCAATAAATTATATATTTTTTAAAAAGTAATCTAAGAAAATCAAGGTTGTGGTTACGCTTTGTGGGGTGGTAGCAACTGGTGGTGACATGCAGAGGGTCTTCTAGGTGGTAATGATGTGTCTGTTCTTGATCTGGCTGCTGAGGCATGGATCTACGCAATTGGTGCGCTTTTCTGTGTGCGTTTACTGTAATAAAAAGCTAAAGGGTGGCCCTTGCCTGTTTGGCTCAGAACATCGGCCTGTGGACTGAAGGGTCCCAGGTTCAATTCTGGTCCAGGGCATGTACCTCGGTTGCAGGCTCAATCCCTGGCCCTGGTTGGGGCACATGAGGGAGGCAACCAATAGATGTGTCTCTCTTGCATTGATGTCTCTCTCTCTCTCTCTCTCTCTCTCTCTCTCTCTCCCCCCCTCCCTTCCACCCTCCCTTCCACCCTCTCTAAAAGTCAATGGAAAAATATCCTCTGGTGAGGATTTAAAAAGCTAACAGGGCTCTGACCGGTTTGGCTCAGCAGAGAGAGCGTCGGCCTGCTGACTGAAAGGTCCCAGGTTCGATTCCGGTCAAGGGCATGGACCTTGGTTGCGGGCACATCCCCAGTAGGGGGTGTGCAGGAGGCAGCTGATCGATGTTTCTAACTCTCTATCCTTCTCCCTTCCTCTCTGTAAAAAAAAAATCAATAAAATACACTAAAAAAAAAAAAAGCTAACAGGTATATATATTATGTAGGTGTAAGGTACAAGGAAAAATAAAACCTGTGTTCTATTAAGAAACAGAATATTACCATTTCAACTAAAAATTAACTATGCTGTGTAACACTTTTCCAAATTTGCTCTTTATCTTTCAGTTGTTCATTACATTTTACGTGTTTTTGAACTTTATACAATGCTGGCATGTTGTATGTAATCTGTGGCTTCTTTTTTTTCACTCGACATTAGAGATAATTCAACCATTTTCTTTTTCACACACCTTCACCATACTCAGCCTATCCATGGTCATGGTGTAGTTGTCCATCGTTTACCTCTATCAAAAACTTTATATGTTTTTTCTTCATAAAATCTTGCATTCCTAGACACCTAACCGTTTTTTTGTTTGTTTTTGTCAAGTGTTCCTAATCCTACATCCTGCCCAATGTCGCTCCAGTGAAAAAGCTGGTTGACTCTGCCCGGTCACCTGCTAACTCTCCGCGTTCCAAGCTCCTCCGACTAATTTCTGACCATCGCCGCCCCCGTAGGTCCCCGGCACCGAATCCCTCCCCCGGCTGAAGGCCGCCCGCCGGGGCTGGAGGCGGAGCCAGTGCGTGCTGACGTCAGGGGCACGCAGCCCCCGGAGGCCGGGGGGCGGGGCTAGCGGGGAACTGCAGCCGGAGAGCGGCGGCCCGAGCCGGGGCCATGGCGAAGCTGCTCAGCTGCGTCCTCGGCCCCCGGCTCTACAAAATCTACCGCGAAAGGGACTCTGAAAGGGCGCGGTCCGGCGCCCCTGAGACTCCAGCGTCGGTCACTGCGCCCCCTCCCAGCTCCTGGGTGAGTCGCGTACTCCCCCCGTGGGGACATGGTACGGCCCGCGCCCCTTTGCGGCCTTGCCCCGCAGAAGCGCCCATTATCGGAAATCGGGGGAGCCCGCTTGTCAAGTCAGTTGTGCGCGCAGCCTGCGTGGTGCTTCCGGGTTAAAGTGGCGCCT